CTACTACTACTACTACTACTACTACTACTACTACTACTAAACTACTACTACTAAACTACTACTACTACTACTACTACTAATAATAATAATAATAATAAACTACTACTACTACTACTACTACTACTACTACTACTACTACTACTACTACTACTACTACTACTACTACTACGACTACTACTACTACTACTATTACTACAACTACTACTACTACTACTACTACTACTACTACTACTACTACTACTACTACTACTACTACTACTACTACTACTACTACTACTACTACTACTACTACTACTACTACTACTACTACTACTACTACTACTACTACTACAACGACTGCTACCACTACCACTAATACGGCTACCCTTACTACTTCTACTACTATTACGACTACTACTACTAGTGCTGCTACTACTACTACTACTACTACTACTACTACTGCAACTATTACTACTACTACTACTACTACTACTACTACGACGACGACGCCTACTACTACTACTACTACTACTACTACTACTACTACTACTACTACTAACTGCGACTCTGCTTGTTCACTAACTACACTACTACTACTACTGCTACTCTACCGACTACTTACTACTACTTAGCTACTACTACTACTACTCCTACTACTAACTAATATTACTACATACTAACTGCTACTGCTGCTTACTAACTAAAACTACTACTCACTACTACTACTAACTACTACTACTACTCCTATTACTACTACGATAATAAATACTACTACAACTATACGACGACTAACTACTACTACTAAACCAACTAACTACTACTCTAACTAAACTAACTACTAACGAACTACTACTACTACTACTAACTACGACTAACACTACGACTACGACTACGGCGACGACTACTACTACTACTACCTACTACTACTACTGCTACTACTACTACTACCACTACTACGACTCCACGACTACTAGTACTATTGCTACTACTCGTGCTGCTACTACTATTGCTACTACTACTACGACTACTTCTACGACTGCTACAAGTACTAGTACTAGTACTGGTACTAGTACTACTACTACTACTACTACTACTACTACTACTACTACTACTACTACTACTACTACTACTACTACGACTACTACTACTACTACTACTACTACTACTTACTACTAATTATTCCTACTACTACTACTACTACTACTACTACTACTACTACTCCTACTACTACTTACTACTACTACTACTGACTACGCTACTACTACTCTACTACTACTACTACTACTACGACGACTACTGCGATTACTACGATTACTACGATTACTACACTTACTACACTTACTACTACTACTACTACTACTACTACTACTACTACTACTACTACTACTACTACTACTACTACGACTACGACTACGACTACGACTACGATTACGACTACGACTACGACTACGACTACGACTACGATTACGACTACTACTACTACTACTACTACTACTACTACTACTACTACTACTGTTGCTTCAACTTCTACTTCGACTTCTACTTGTACCCTACTGCCCTCGCATCCGCCGAGCCTCCCAGGCCCACGGAAGTGGCGACCGTTTCACATTCCGAAGCCCCCGACAAAGTCGCGAGATCTCGAATGAATCTCTGCTGCCCCTCACCTCCGGCGTGCCTCCCAGGAACCCACGAACGTGCCGACGGTCGCGCAGTTCGCAGCCTCCCAATGGGGCGCGGGGTCTCAAAAGGATCCGCGCTGCCCTCACCTCCGCCGTGCCTCCCAAGAGCCCACGAAAACGGCGACCGTTGCGCAGCTCGCAGCCCCCGACAGAGCCGCGAGGTCTCAATGTGATTCTCGATGCCCTCACCTCCGCCGTGCCTCCCAGGAGCCCAAGAAAGTTGCGACGGTTGCGCAGTTCGCAGCACCCGAGGGAGCAGTGAGATCAAAGGAACCCCCGCTGGCCTCATCTCCGGCGTACCTCCAAGGAGCTCACGAAAGCGACGACGGTTACGCAGTTCGCAAGGCGCTACGCACTTCGCAGGGTCTCAAATAGATCCCCGCTGCCCTGACCTTCGCCGTGCCTCCCAGGAGCCCGAGAAAGTTGCGAGAGTTGCGCAGTTCGCAACCCCCCAGGGAGCAGCGCTGGAGGAGGCAGTAGGGGGGGAGGGGAAGGAGTGGATTCCACAGTGCTCTGTTCAAAGCGAGTCCCCTGTCCCTTCCCTCTCCCCTCCCCTCTCCTTCTCCCGTATCAGCCCTCTTCCCTTCCCTTCGTCCCTCTTTCCCTCCCCCTCCCACTCCCAGACATGCGACGTCCTGATTTTTTCAGGACGGCGTCCCTGGAGGTCCCGACCCTTGCCCCGGGACCGGTGTTTCGTCCTGAATCGTCTTTGGACGGTCCCGAGGCCCGGCGAGGGCCCCCCCAGGGCCGCAAAGAGCCCAAAGCTCCGTGTCCTGACTCTTTTTACCCAGACATCGGGCGTCTCGAAAAAATCGAGACGGAGGTTTTCCATAGTTTTTGGCCTCTCGGGGCCCTCGCCGGGCCTCGGGGCCGTCGAAAAACGGCTCGGGATGAAAAGCCGGTCCCAGGGAAGTGGTCGGGAGGTCGGGGGCCCGCGTCTCGAAAAAATCGAGACGTCGGATGTCTGGGTACGACGCGATCATGTCTGGGCTCCTTCCCTGCGCACCTGGCCTTCCCCTCCGGGGGGGGGGCCCTGGGCCGACGACCGGCCAAGGAGCCCCCAGCTGTTCTGGCCCTCCCTCGTCGCACAGAGCGGAGCCGCCCGCGCACTTCTCTCTCCATAGTGTTACAAAAGCCCGCCGGAAGTCCACCGGGCGGGAAAGCTGGGATATCGGGCGTCGCTTCACCGGGGGGGGGGGGCAATATACCCAGACCCCCTCGAGTAATGAAAAAATCATGACGGGATGTTTTTCGCCATTTTCGGCCTCTGGGGGCCCTCACCGGGCCTCGGGAGCGTCAAAAAACGACTCAGGATGACACACCGGTCCTGAGGAAGGGGCCGAGAACTCTGGGGTCGACGTAATGGAAAATTCATTACGTCGGGGGTCTGGGATCATGTCTGGGCTCCTTCCCTGCGCACCTGGCCTTCCCCTCCGGGGGGAGCCCTGGGCGGACGACCGGCCAAGGAGCCCCGAGCTGTTTTGGCCCTCCCTCGTCGCGCAGCGCGGAGCCGCCCGCGCGCCTCTCTCTCCATAGTGTTACAGAAGCCCGCCGGAAGTCCACCGGGCGGGAAAGCTGGGATCGGGCGTCGCTTCATCGGGGGGGGGCAATATACCCAGACCCCCTCGAGCAATGACAAAATCATGACGGGAGGTTTTTCGCCATTTTCGGCCTCTGGGGGCCCTCACCGGGCCTCGGGAGCGTCAAAAAACGACTCGGGAGGACAAACCGGTCCTGGGGAAGGGGTCGAGAACTCTGGGGTCGACGTAATGAAAAATTCATTACGTCGGGGGTCTGGGTACCCAGACATCCGACGTCCCGATGTTTTGTCGAGGCGCGGGCCCCCCGGCCTCCCGACCACTTCCCCGGGACCGGCTTTGCAGTCCGAGCCGTTTTCTGCCGGCCCCGAGGCCCGGCGAGGGCCCCGAGAGGCCAAAAACCATGACAAAAACCCTGTCTCGATTTTTGTCGAGACGCCCGATGTCTGGGCATGGCGGGGGGGTCAATCCCCGGGAGGAAGCAAGATGGTGCACCGGTCGTGCCCCGCTGTCCGGCGTTGGCAGAACTGGGTTCAGTGGAACCTGGTTTAGTGATCTGTACCGGGGGCGGCCCCCCCGTCCCCTTTCCAGTAACCGGAACTGCCGTCACCCGAAACAACACCAGCTATGGCAAACCTGGTTCCCAGACCCCCGACGTAATGATTTCTTCGTTACGTCGACCCCCAGAGGTCCCGAGCCCTTCCCCAGGACCGGTTTGTCATCCTGAGTAGTTTTCTGACGCGCCCGAGGCCCGGTGAGGGCCCCCCGAGGCCGAAAATGGCGAAAAACCTCCCGTCATGATTTTTTCATTACTCGAGGGGGTCTGGGGCTCCGGGGCCCTACCACTGACCGGGTCCCCTTACCATAGGGGCCCTGGCCATGCCCGATCCTGGCCCCGATCGTGGCCTCGCGGGGGCCTGGGCCGCGCGGGCGCCCGGAGCGCGCGGTGCAGCACGGCAGCGGCGTCGACGCGGGGATCGACCGCTGCCACTTGCGGCGGTCCGCGGCGGGGCCCAAGGCCTCGGGGGCCCCCCTACTGGGGGACCCAAAGGGGGGCCCTTCCCAGACCCCCTCGAGCAACGACAAAATCATAACGGGAGGTTTTTCGCCATTTTCGGCCTCTGGGGGCCCTCACCGGGCCTCGGCAACGTCAAAAAACGACCCAGGATGACGAGCCCGTCCTGGGGAAGGGGTCGAGAACTCTGGGGTCGACGTAATGAAAAATACATGACGTCGGGGGTCTGGGTTTAGGTCCCCTTGCCTGCAGCCCTCGACCGCCAGGTCCCCACGTATCGCCCCCCCCCCGCTCCTTCGAAGCGCCCGATGGAGAAAAAAAAGGCGGGAGGAGCACTCCGGCAGATTCGTGCCGTGACCACTCCTGCGATGGATTCCGGCACCGCCTGGACCGCCCAGCCTTGACTGAACGGTCGCGGCCCCCCGATACCCGAATCTCCGACGTCGCGCTCTTGTTCGCAACGTTCGCCCCCCGAGGTCACAGCGTCTTCCCTGGGACAGGCTCCTCCTCCCCAGCCGCTCTGTCGATGGCGGGCCCGGGTGAAGGCCCGAGGAGGCCGAAGATTGACACAAACCTCCCGTCGTGCTTCCCAGACCCCCGACGTAATGAATTTCTCATTACGTCGACCCCAGAGTTCTCGACCCCTCCCCCAGGACCGGTTTGTCATCCTGAGTCGGTTTTTGACGCTCCCGAGGCCCGGTGAGGGCCCCCAGAGGCCGAAAATTGTGAAAAACCTCCCGTCTGGATTTGTTCATTACTCGAGGGGGTCTGGGTTTGTCTCTCCACGAGAAGTGGCAGGGGCAGCGCAGACCGCTCGATATCGTACGATCCAGGGCCGCCGCTGGCGCTGCATCCTCGGGGCGCCCGCTGGGATCCTCCGCCGCGCCGGCGCGTCGCAGACGCGCGGCACGGCAGGGCGGGGAGGAGGGCGCGCGGAGGCAGCGAGCCGCGGAGCTGGGCGCGCGGGGGCAGCGAGCCCAGACGCCGGGTGCGCCGTGCTTTCTCGATGGGTCGCGGCGCGGCCCCCCAGGGGCCTGGGCCGTGGCGTGTCGCCCAGCCGGTCCTCATCCCCGCTGGCACGGCCTTGGCCCCACTGGTGCCGATTTGTCCCCCTTGGTGGGAACACACACACAGACAGAAATATGATGATTTTCGTAGTATTAACCATCTCAATACACACATCTACTACGCTATCACATATTATGCTATAGCACAGCATCACGAAGTATAATACAACCTCTACTGGATATTTATATATATATATATATATATATGCCCCAACAAAACAAAACATGCAGCACAACCTGATGTACTCCGAAAATAATATGTGATGGAAGACACAACGTGTTATCACCTACATATACATAAATATAACCATTTGTATGCACGCAAGCATGCATGCATGCATGCATACACACATGCATGCATACATTTGCCGATATACATATATATTTATGCATATATATCGATATGTATATATGTACTTATATATATATGTGTATATATGTAAAATTACATATACATATACATGTGCACATCCATGTATATATACACAGATGCATATGCAGTTACACATACATGTACACATGCATACACATACACCTTACACATATATATATATATATATATATATATATATATATATATATATGTATGCATAAGTACACACACACGTACACACCTATACTCTAAGCACGAGCGCGCTTCGCGCGCGCCTGAGTTCTAGCAAGCTCATAGTTACAGCCTAAAACAATGGTTGGCACCGAAGGACATATACATACGGATCGCTCCCCTCGTGCCGCTCCACCTGCGGCCCCAGAGACAGGCTTGGCTCAGCGTCCCCCCGCCCATGTCTGGATTCCCCTCACAGGCATCGCGCCCCGCAGGGAGCTCCACCTACGTCCTCAAAGACAAGGTTGGCATAGTGGCACACCCCTCATGCGGATCGTGCATCACCAGTAACTTCGTTGGCGGCACCAAGGGGAAACTCCATAGCGTCGCCCCGCTCATTTCGGCACACCTCTCACACGGATCGTGGCCAGCGAGGAATTCCACGGATGGCCCCAGAGATAACGGTTCGCATCCTGCCTCGGCGCACCTCTCGCACGGATCTCCATAGGGATCTCCACCTGCGGCCCCAACGGCAGGGCTCGCACTGCGGCGTTCTGAAACTACCTTGTACGGGTTGTGCCCAGAAGAGGTCCACTCGCGGCCCGGTGGGCGTGTTCGCGCGGGGGCATTCGAATTATTCGGCACACCCTTCACACGGATCGTGCCCCACAAGGAGTTCGACGCACCCGTGCAAGTGCGCTCCGCAGCAGCCATCTTTCCGCATTGCCACGCGGCGCGCATTGTATGAAGAGGGACCCGCGCCCTGGGCTACACATGACCACATATGGATGGGTCCGTCGCCAAACCAATTGCTCGATTGTCTGTGGTCTTCTGCACACAGCGCTGCTGTGCCTGAGTTCTGGGCCAGGGAATTCCTGGATACCTGTAATTTCAAGGTCTCTTGGCATGCTTCTCGGGCGCCTCGCGGAGCGAGCTTTGAAGCTTCTTGAATCCTCATGTGGGCCCTGTGGGGGCCTCTTGGGTGCCTGCTGCGGCCTCAGGGGCCCTCTCGTGGCGGAGGGCTTGACGTGTAAGTTGGAATTTCTCTTCTTGAGCTCCTCTTGGGGCTCTCTTGGGCCGTCTTGGGCGCCTCTTGGACGGTCTTGGGGTTGTCTTGGGTTGTCCTGGGGCCCTCTTGGAGGCCTCTTGGACCGTCTTGGGGCAATGTGTGGGGCCTCTTGTGTCGTTGTGGACACTGTTTAGACCCAACGTGCGAATTCAGGACTTACTCCCCCCCGTGTGGAATGAAGCAAAGTCGGCCTCCTGGGGCCCTCTCGGGGCGCATCTTGGAGCCTTCTCAGGACGTCTCCGGGGCCTGTTGCGCCGTCTTGAAACAGTCCGCCACCGTGCCTCTGGCACGACGTGGGCACCCAAGGCTAATAGAGCCCTGCTCGGCGGTGGACAAACCTCCCTTTAGCAGACCACCCTTTAGTGAAAACGGCCTGGGACCGAAACCGACGGACCTGGACCCGCAAAAATGACGGCCGCGACGCCTTCGTCGTCGTCGTCGTCGTCGTCCTCCTCCTCGTCGTCCTCGTCGTCGTCGTCGTCGTCGTCGTCGTCGTCGTCGTCGTCGTCGTCCTCGTCGTCGTCGTCGTCCTCGTCGTCGTCGTCGTCGTCGTCGTCGTCGTCGTCGCCCTCGTCGTCCTCGTCGTCGTCGTCCTCGTCGTCCTCCTCGTAGCAAAGTAAAGGGATTGTAAGGCCCTCGAGGGCCCAGACTCCCAGTGTCCTGGGCCGCCTGGGCGGCCGCCAGGCGCTCCTGGGGTGCATCGAGCGGGCCTCTGGGAAGGCTCCCGCACGCAGGGGGGGGGCCCCAAGCACAGCGCCCGAGACGCAATGTCGGATGGTGGGGAGCCCGCTTGGGGGGCGCTTTTACCTGTCCGGGACCGCCCTGGCACACCAGGGGATAGGTCTTTATTCAGATGTACATATAGATAGATACATTTAGATATGTATATAGAGATAAATATATAGTTCGATATATATATATATACAAATACATATATATTTATGCATATATATATATATATATATATATATATATATATATTATATATATATATATGACTAGGTATACACATCTATGTTTATAAACATGTTGCTGGTTAGATATATAGACAGCTATATGGATCTGCATACATAGATATACATGTATACACATATCCATGTATTGAATATGAATGGGTATATCTGTATATGTGTATATATACATATGTATATATATGTATGTTAAATTACATATATATATATACATATATATATATATATATACATGTGCACATCCATATGCATCCATATACAATGCCATACATATAGATATGTATATACACATGTATATATATAGACAGGTAGATAGATAGATACGTATGTATATCTATACTACGAATGCTGTTCCCATTCGGGTTTCGTGGGACCTTTTCACCACCCCGGCGGGGCTTACTGTGGCCCGGCGGCGATGTGGACCGGACAGGCGATGCTGACCCTCTTCCCCAGGGACCGGCTCTCCCTCCCGAGCCGCCTCCTGACCGCCCCGGGGCTCGACGCACGGGCCCTCGAGGGGAGAACAACGGCCCCCAAGAACCTCCCGCCGTGGCCCTGTCACGGCGCGACGGGCGTCTGGAAGGCATGGCGCGGCTGCAGCGATGCGGCTGCAGCGATGCGGCAGGCCACCCGCGCTCGGCCCCTGGAGGGCTGCCGGGTGGACCGGAAAGCGGCAGAGCAAAAAACAGAAAAACCGTGCGGCCAGAAGAGAGGGGAGGAGGAGGAGGAGGAGGAGGAGGAGGAGGAGGAGGAGTGAGGAGGAGGAGGAGGAGGAGGAGTGAGGAGGAGGAGGATGAGGAGAGAGAGGAGGAGGAGGAGGAGGAGGAGGAGGAGGGAGGAGGAGGAGGAGGAGGTAGGAGAGGAGGAGGAGGAGGAGGAGGAGGAGGAGGAGGTAGGAGGAGAGGGGGGGAGGAGGAGGGAGGAGGAGGGAGGAGGAGGGAGGAGGGAGCAAAACGACGTGGCGTGCTGCCCAGCCTCTCCGGGCAGGGGGCCCGCGCCGGCGCACGGGCCGAGCCTGGGCACAACGACGCGCCATTGAGACGCGAACGGGCTCCACCCGAGAGCTCGGCGGCGACGATATAGGGGCGAAGATAGCCCAGGAGGCGGGCATGACACGCATTCGCCCTGGAGCCTTGCCGAAGACATGGAGCATCGGCACACCTGGATACACGTCTTGCTCTCCCCTGGGCTGTTCCTCCCCATCGTCAAACCGGGCGCGTCCCCCTCCAGGGGGATCTTGGAGGAAAACTAGGAGGAAGACCCCCGAGAGTGCTCCAAAATGGTAACACGATGCTCCAAAAATAGTCCCCAGACGATTCTCTTACATTTTTGAGTATTTCCCCTGTCGAGGGCCGGGCCCGACTTTAAGGGTGGGAGGTCTGCCCACCCCCCGACCTGCAAAGGGAAAGGGACTGTGAGGTCCTGGAGGGCCCAGGCTCCCGGCTTCCTGGACCGCCTGGGCGGAAAGGTCGGTGCCGGTCTTGGCCGTCGTCTCTCTTGGTCCTCGTCCGTGTCGGCGACGGCCGGCATGGCCCATGCCCAAGATCGGCGTCGACAAGCTTCCTCGACATCTCGGTCATGGTCATCGTGTCTCTTCCCTCGAGTCTCGACCGTCCTTCCCCCCGGCCCTGGAGGTCTCCTCGGGAAGACGCGGGGCTCGGGTTCGGGGGGCCCGAGTGTTCCTGACGGGTCTGAGCGGCCACCACCCGAAGATCGCTTCGGCATTCTTCCCCCCCACGCCCTGGAGGCTTCTGCGGGGGGACGCAGGCCTCGAGTTGGGGCATCGTGCTTCCTCCGTTTTCGGGAGCGCCGCCAGGCGGCGGGAGGTCTAGCCGAGCAGAAGCGGCGCCGACCTCACGGCATCGCCGGCGGAGGCCCTGTCGAGCATGTCGAGGGCCCGGTTGGAGCGGCGGAACATGGAGCCGAAAGTCTTGGCGATGGTGTTGCGCGGCGCCTCCGACTCCTGACGAGGCCACTCTCTCGGTGCTGAAGCTACTCGGGGCCCCGTGCCTTCGCGTCTGACGGCGCTGATAATGATGACGGCGACGAGGACGAGGGTGATGCAGATGAACGCGGTGATGGTGATGGTGATGATGAAGATGCTGATGCTGATGCTGATGCTGATGCTGATGCTGCTGCTGCTGCTGCTGCTGCTGCTGATGATGATGATGATGATGATGATGATGGTGATGGTGATGGTGATGGTGATGGTGATGGTGATGATGAAGATGCTGATGATGATGATGATGATGATGATGATGATGATGATGATAATGATAATGATAATGATAATAATGATGATGATGATGATGATGATGATGATGATGATGATGATGATGATGATGATGATGATGATGATGATGATGATGATGATGATGATGATGGTGGTGACGATGACGATGGCGATGACGGTGCGGATAACGATGGTGAAGATAATGACGGTGACGATGTCCACGGGCCATCGGAAGATCCCTGCAGCGAATCGACATCTTGGCTAAAACGCGGGCTCTTGCGCAAAGGAGGTTGGAAATAGGCTCGAGGTCCTGACGCCCCGCAGCTCTCAACGCATTAAAGGTAGCGAACATCAAGTCATGCACCAGCAGCTGAGCGAGCAATCAACCTTGAGACACATGGGAAACGCCAGAGACGAGGAAGCGGGAGAAGGCAGAGGCAGAGGCAACCGAGGGAGGAAGAACAGGAGGCACGCGCGACAACGGAGGACGCAGGAGGGAGCATCCGAACATGCAGCGCATATGCGGTGCCACCGCCCTCAGAGGCCAGAACCCATTATGCAGGCTGTGCAAGCCTGGACGTATCTCCTGTCCTCCTCCTCCTCCTCCTCCTCCTCCTCCTCCTCCTCCTCCTCCTCCTCCTCCCCCTCCCCCTCCCCCTCCCCCTCCCCCTTCCCCTCCTCCTCCTCCTCCTCCTCCTCCTCCTCCTCCTCCTCCCCTCCCCCTCCCCCTCACCCTTCCCCTCCTCCTCCTCCTCCTCCTCCTCCTCCTCCTCCTCCTCCTCCTCCTCCTCCTCCTCCTCCTCCTGGGCGACGAGCTGCAAACATTTTTGAGCTACGAGGCAGCATGTGGATGGCAGCAGCAGGCGGCTGGCAAGTCTGAGATTCCGGGGAGCTCTGTCCGTCACGCCGTCGGGGGCAGGCAGCGGGGATGAGATGCTTCATGTTCGAGGGCGGGGGTTCGGGAGCAGGGGGTCAGATCACGAAGACTAAGACAACGAACAACTTTAGACTGCAGATGGCCCGTGTTCACATCATGCTTCTCCAGGAACTGCGGAATTGCCTTGAAATGCGCGGAGACAATCATGCACAGACTCTCGAACAACCACTCTGGGAATCGCCGCGCGGCCGAGACGTCCAAGTCTTGTTCTGCAGGGGATGTAAGCTGTTCATCATACCTTAGCACGGCAACGACCGAATGCAGGCGCGATACATGGCAGCTCTATGTCCGTAGTGCAGGTGACGGGGGCCGTCTTAGAGCTGCCGTCGGAATAGAACACTGTGGGCTGACAGCAAGACGCTGAAGAACAGTCTGTTCAGTTTGAATCACTCGCTGGGAGACAGGAAGAACTTGCATGACGTGCGACAAGGCTTTAAAAGCTAACGCATTGTACTGATTAAGCCCCGAGGCGAGCCCAAAGTTGGGTCCTTTCACGTTGTCTCCACGAGCAAGATATTTACTAATCGGTTCAAGCCAAAAAGCCGAAGGCCCGCCAAAGCCGACCTGGATCCCCAAATGTTTACCGTGAGTCTGGAAATTGAACTGGTCAACAGGAACACCGCGGAGCTGTATAGCAACCCGAATGGAAAGAATACGCGACCGCGACGGAATAACGATAGCACGCGTCTTATAGTTCGGCTTCAAGCCTGTGAGTGGACCGACGAGGTTAAACAGCTAGAGTACCTTCTCTATAACATAAACAGTATCGCCAACCGCAATGCCGACGTCATCCATGAAGGCTGGGGACGGCAGCCAAGCAGAGGTTGCACCAACAATTCGAGGACTCGCAAGAGCGGGTCGAAGCACAGGTTGCAAATCAGAACGGGCAGCGGGCATCCCTGCTTAACTCCCTTCTCAATGCTAAATCCACCAACTACCCGCCCCTACCATAAGCATCTGAACCTTGACATCTCGATAAAGTTCACGCTAGGCGCCAAGAAATTAACTGGTATGGCTGGAGCCGTGAGAACGGCGAGAATCTACGAGTGCAGCAGCAACGGGAAAGCTGCAGCCAGGTCCAGCAGAAACGATCCTGCTGACACCATGCCCTTGCACCAGGCGTACTCGAGGAGGGAACCTTGAGAATGTCCCTTCTTTTGATGCCTCCTGCCTGGGATTCAGCGGTCGAGTACTGAGCCTTTTTACTGAGAGGAACCGCCATACCAACAGAGATGAATTTGTATACCGCGTTCGATAAGACACTTGGTCTTGTCTGGGAAGGACCTCTCAATACGCTTCAACTCTCGCCTTCCACATTCAGTGGCGGGAAGACGACATAGCCCTCGATAAACTCGGCAGGCAGCAGGCTACCATACAAGAACGCACCATAAGCTTCCACAGGTGCATTACGAATGAGATCCCCCATCCCCCGCGACGCCATGCAGAATAAGGAATACCCTCAGGACCAGGGCCCGTATCCCGTTTCTTCGCTGTGATGACGCCAGCAAGTTCTTCACGTGGGATCTCCCACTCGATGTCAGGACTGATGCTGTCTAAGTTGAGGACTGGAAGATGCCGAGCTTTCTCCAAAAACGCACTAATGACCTCATTGGTCACATCCGGTTCAGGCGCACGGCTGATATTTCCTCAGTGCTGTCTTAGATGATCAACACTATATAGAAACGATTGTAGTTGGCCGTCATCAGCAACACATCCAGCTAGTGTGACACGACGACGTTTAGGGCTCCAGTTGCAAATTTGTTGTTGAAGTCGATTGACGACGGGATCCAAACGAGAGACGGGTTGGCCATGATGGGACCCCAGGGTTCTGTCAAGGTCTTCTTGGAGGACTTCGAGGTGTAGCTCTGCGGCGTGGTTGCGGATCCCGATGCTGCCCGAGAACCCATCAACGCTCGCGAAAGACTCCAGGAAAGGGTACGCGCTCAAGCACTTCCTGGCAACGTGCTGCTACCAGACCTTACACATCGCAGAAGCTTCACACACAGCTATCGTTTGCTTGGTAGGAGAGGGGCCATGCAAGTGAAGGCGGCGCAAGAGAAACTCTTGCACATACAACATGGATTATTTAAGCTCCTGTCTCCGTTCAAAGGGGTGCTCAGGCAACACAAAGCGATGAACAACTTCTTACACTAGCGAGCTGGGTCCCGGGTGACCTGCAACCCAGCGTTGTCGGGGAGACGTAAGACCCGGTTACGGGGGACTCGGAAATCCCCGACGAGGTCGTCAAAAAAATGACGAGGCCGAGCCTGCATTTTGACGAGGCCTCCCGCTGCAGACATCCAAAGAAACTCCTACTCGTCAAAATCCGAGTCGCGGTCGTCAAAAAACGATGGCGAACCCGAGTCCTGGCAAACCCGGGTCTTACGCTCCCCCGACGTTGGATTCGCGGCGGACCAACGCAGCAGGAAGCAACTGCGCAACGCCATGCACGTGGTCGAGAGGCTCCAGGCCGCTGAACGGATCCCCTAAGATATGAGCGAGGGTGCATATCGATCAGCTCGGCGGTCGGGCAATTGGTGTAGATCCGATCGAGACGCCCAACACTGCTACTTCCTTTGCAGATGTGGGAGAAGTCGCTTTGTTCGATCTCGGCAAATTCGCGAAATCACTGGTGGAACAGAATGATCGTGTCAGGATTCTCGCCTCGCAAACTGCCATCGGCAATCGAGACTCCCCAAGCACTTGACGTCGCCACCAACAAACACTAGAGCCTCGTCCGCATCTAGAAATTGACGATGGTGATGATGACGATGATGATGGTGATGACGACGATGCCGATGGTGATGATTACGATGATGATGACAATGGTGGTGATGACGATGATGATGATGACGATGGCGATGACGATGACGACGACGACGATGACGATGATGACGATGATGAAGATGGTTATGACATTGACGATGACGGTGACGACGATGATGATGCTGATGATGGTAAAAGTGATGATAATGATGATGGTGATTGTGATGGTAATGGTGATGATGATTATGATGATGATGCTGATGATGATGCTGATGATGATGTCAATGGTGGTGATGCTGGTGATGATGATGACGATGATGATGATGCTGATGATGATGATGCTGATGCTGATGATGATGATGATGATGATGATGATGATGATGATGATGATGATGATGATGATGATGGTGGTGGTGGTGGTGGTGGTGGTTGTGGTGTTGGTGGGGGTGGTGATTCAGAGTTTGATTATTCTGAGAATGCCGAGGGCGATGATGCAGAGGTCCATGTCACAGACCAGCAAGAGCAAGGCACGGGGATGCGCGCAGTCAGCTCCTGGAGATAGCCCAGGCTGGCCTCGACAGGCCCCCAGGGTACTCCAGGACGGCCTCGACACCCCAACTCTGAGGCCCAGGGCGACAGCGGTGCGGCCGCCAGAGGCGGCGTGAGGGGGCCGCCTGACCCACGGCAGCGCTCGGTTGCGCGAGGCGCGAGTCCTCCTCCTCCTCCTCTCCTCCTCCTCCTCCTCCCTCCTCCTACTCCTCCTTCTTTCCTCCTCCTCCCCTCCCCCTCCTCCCCCTCCTCCTTCCTCCTCCTTCCTCCTCCTCCTCCCCCTCCTCCCCTCCACAATTACTCAATATGAAAATACTCTCCCTCTTCCCCTGATGGCGTCCAGGTGATGGCGGCGCACCCTCCGCGTACTGTTTTTTTTTACACACAGGATGCCCGGGAAATCCCGGGAAACGACTCTCGCTGAGGCGCCGGCGTCATTTTTTCCCCAAATGCTGCTCTCGTTGAGG